AAAGTGCTCCAAAGTATTCTAATAATCCAAGCTAAGAAGCAGCAGATGTCACTCTCCCCGTGAATTAACACTGCTCTGCACTCACCAGAAATTACTGAAATTACTTCTATCTCTAGATGGTCAAATAAAGGGTGATAGCTCCTCCAGCTCATCCCAGTCTCCAAAGTAGTCAATCTCCCAAATCGATTTAACCAATACGAGTTCAATCATCACCGCTCCCATCGCCATGGCAAGAAAAATTATAATCGCTCATTGTGCAGTATATTTAAACCAGGTTTATTTAAAAATTCCAAGATGCACTCACAGTTAAAACTTTAAAAACTTGCCAGCAGTAAATCACCATGTAAGATCATAGCGCACTCTCCTCACAGACTCCCAATGCAAGCAACGTCAACAGGGTCCACCACTAACATGTTTCATCATCCAAAGGCGTTTTCAAAGGACGGCGGACCTTGTTGAAGTCACCAGCTCCAATCCTATATAAAGTATTTATGATCATACTAATCTACAGTGCAATACCACAATCCAACCATAGGTGTCTCTCTACATCCAGCGGCTACATAGCTAATATACAGTATTGCAACTTCCATCAATTCAAATTAATTATCAGATAAATAGAAAATATCCATATATTAAATTAATATAATATAAGAGGAAATAAAAGACAAAAGGAGATAAAATATATAAATATAAATACTCATTGATTACTTAAAAAACAATTGAGGTCAAAATCAATATTTAGTCCTTTCGGAAACATAGTATCTAAAGAGAATATCCTTTTAGATTAATTTTTCAAAACGTCTCTTTTTAAGTTTGAACCTCTCCAATGATTACATATCTTGTTAATCCTAATCATTTTAAGCCAGCTCCATGCTCCCTGGTGACGGGTGAGCATGGAGCCAGCTTCCCAGCCAGTCAGGAAGCTGGGCAGCGTGTAATGACTGGGTCGGCTTCCTGATTCTGGAAGTTCCGGTATAGGGATAAGCATCGGGAGCATTTGCATGGTATCGGTGCATCCCTAATTAAAACCATTCTTTATATTATAAACATGTTCTTTCATTCTCTTTTTCAGCAACCTTGTGGTCCTTCCCACATATTGCTGCCCACATGGACATTAGAAAAGGTAAGTTACAAATCTACTGTTACAGGAGATAAATTATTTTATTTTAAATGTTTTATTATTACTGTAGTTGCTGGCGTATAAGACTACTTTTTATACTTAAAAACATCCCCCGAAAATAGGGGGTCGTCTTATACACCGGGTATACAATGTATACATTTAGTTCGTTTGGGCCAAGCTGGCCCAAAACGAACAACCCTAATCTGTCAGCCCGCTGGATGTGCGGTAATACTGTATGTACGGTGGCTTCGGCTACATACAGTATACCGCGCTGAGCCAATCACAGCGAGCGATGTACACAACCTCTGCCAATCCAAGCAAGCTTTGTATTCATTAATAGAATACATTGCTCACCGTGACCGGCTCAGCGCGGTATATTGTATGTAGCTGAAGCTACTGTACATACAGTATTACCGCACATCCATCCATAATGTTTTTAAATGGTGTTGCCTCAGAAGTGGGGTAGTCTTATATGACGAGTATAGCCCAAAACCTATGTTTTAAGTGGAAAATTAGGGGGTCGTCTTATACACCCAGTCGCCTTATATGCCGGCAAATACGGTACTATTAGATCTAAACTGTTCTATTTTCTTTTTTGTCCCTGTGCTTCTACACCCAATGCAATGTCTATGGGTAAAAACCTACACCCTCAAAAAATGTAATTGTGCGTTTGGGTGGTTCCAATAAATTTTTTACCAATTAATCCCTAAAGGTAGGGGCACGCCTATAAATTATTCTCAGTTTGTCAGGAAGTATAGGGCCCAAGATCCTATCTTTTTTTTTAATATTCCAGTATTTCTTAAAAATAGGTCCTATATCTTTTCGTTGTGCTGAATATTCAGAAATAAAATATATCTACACCTCCTCCCTTGGTCAGTTAATAACCTCACATGGCTTCCAATACCATCTCTATGCCGATGACACTCAAATCTATCTTTCTACTCCACACTTCACCCCCTCTGTGTCCTTGCGTGTCACTAATCTACTAACTGACATATCAGTCTGGATGTCACAACATTTCTTAAAACTCAATCTTTCAAAAACCGAGCTCATGATATTTCCTCACGCCCATGGACTATCCAAATCCTGCCTACCGCAAAATTACTCATCCAGTCACGTGTTATATCTCGTCTTGACTATTGCAACTCCCTCCTCATTGGCTTACCTCTACACAGGCTATCCCCCCTTCAGTCCATCATTAACTTTTGACGGTCAAGCATGTTTGAAAACTTTGGTCGATTGTACGATGTTCGCATGGTTGGTGGCGTTTCTGTCCGTCAAAAGTCGTACGATTAACACTGCGCATGCGCAAACTAAAATAATTGTGGTCAATTACCGCAAGTCGCCCAGGTGTTTTTTTTTAACTACCGCTGATTGAACCTTGCGATAATCGGGGCAGGATGGGGCCGTCGTATGAAAATCGTACGACGGTTCGATCATCGGACGAAATGTTTCGTCCCATAATCGTAAGGTGTATGGGCACCTTAAGTCTCAGGTGAGTCTTCAGTCTCCTGAACTTGACACAGGTGGAAGAGTCTCTAAAGGCATCAAGTCACTTCTCCAAAGGTGGCAAAACTTGCAAGGTCTCTTATAGGTGGAAGTAGATTAGTCTCTCTAGTTGGTTTTAGGAACTTCTTGATAACTCTATCTTTAGGAAGTCCTGCTCCTAGAAAAGGACATGCTTGTATGATTATTGGCACAGACGACACTGATGAGCTTCATAGGCCTTCTACTGCTAGCAGAGTTCCTGGTGTGAGAGCCCAGTCACACCATATCCAGTGCGTCCCCGTGCAGTTTGCGCCTGGAACGCACTGGATCGCATAGATCAAACCGGGCCGCGTTCTGGGGCAACTGACAACTACAGAGGCCGAAATTCTCTACACCAGAGGGGATGCATCTAACGGAGATCAAACGCGTACTTAAGCCCTTGAACTAACTGTTCCACCAGGTCCACATAACCTGTTTGATTGCCTAGCCCTGGTGTAAAACCTTTGCCCGGTTACTGTTTGGGACACACGCACAGATGCTAACGCGTTTATAGACCATGCAACAGTCTCCACCTTCCTATCCATTGCACACTTAGAGGATTACAATTCCTCAGGAATCCCTACAGGAATGATGGTGTCCTTTTTCAGCCTAGATAGTGCAGCTTTTTCTTCAAACCTTTTGCTACCTGGAGTGTGTAAGGCTTTTAAACACACTCCTGGCTGCTATAGCAGCTTTGACTATGTTCAGGCCACACTAGCTGACTGTTGGCTTTGTGTTAGAAGTGATTTTGGCGGTTGTACATCCACCCAATAATGACCAAGGGGTACCCTGGGCACCACTGCCCCTCCTGCAGGCCTAGGAGAGCCATGGTGGGTGTCAGCGGCTAGAGTGCAGGGAGACCAGCAAACATCCGTTCACTGATCTCCCTTTCTGTAAATGAACCTGGAAGTGACGGTGAATTTGCCACTTCTGGTTTCAGAGCTGTCATTCCCCGGTGATCAGGGGCGTAGATAAGGGGGGTAGGGGGGTCCAACCCCCCCCCCCCCCCCGAGCCCCCAAAATCCCAATAAGTGTATACCAAGTGGTTTGTGTGAATTGGTACCAATTATAAGTCTTTTGAAAACATGGTTTTTATCCATATGCTGTCGAACAACAAAATCGGTATTGCTCAGGGTAAAGGATTGGTTTAGGAATAATATGGCTGGTATCTTTTTTTCAAACCTTTGTATGTCTGCTAGATAAAATCTTATAATTGGAGGAAGCTGAACCCCCCCCAGCAAAAAAAATTATCTACGGCCCTGCCGGTGATCTGTGCCTGATCACCTTCCACAAAGTAAAAAGGTCATATTAGGGGTCTAATAGACCCTAATGTCTCCTTAAAGAGAACTTGTTACCTATAATGTGCTATTACATATGGGACTATTAGCCCCCATGTAGTAGCAATAAAGGTAAGTAAAAAAAGTTTTAAAAAATAAAATAATTTATAAAATACCTTTTGCTTTGCACAAAGAATGATATCCCCAGCTGCTAGAAGCCTCCTGGGATACTCACGCCACACACGTGAGGAGGCTCTAAAGTGATATTAAACGCAAAATGTTTTTAAGCTATTTCAAATGCTGATTAAATCAATAACAATGATGCTGACAATGGATGCTTGATGTTCGAAAGTTTTAGTTTTCTGCATTTTTATCTGCTTCCCTGAGCATTGGCCCTGATATCCTGTTTTAGGATGTATCCTTAGCCTTGCACGGACCAATGGAGCCACCCTTGTGTGTGCTAGTAAGCTGTGTGTGTCTCTACAAACACACAGACCCAGCAAGGCAATCCACACCCCTCTCCTCTCTTCTCCAAGCTAGTAGATGGACAGCTGCTGGAGACTGCAAAAATGTTAAAAAAAAAAAAACACTTTGCCGAGTGATGAATATCTGTCTGAACTGGATTCATTTTTGAAAAAAAAAATTGAGTTTTAGACAGGGGCGTCCCGAGGCTGGGTGTCACCTGGAGCAGAGACCGGGTAACACCCCACCGTGACGTCATCCCGCAAAAAAAGTCCAAGCACGATTTTATGGGCGGATTTCGAGCTTTTCGGCTATGGTAATAGCTGCAAACGCGCAATATCCGTTCGTTTGTGCGGTTTCGTTACGCTACCGCTATGAGCAAATGGAGCCTCAGAAGTGAAAGATAAAAAATAACATGGGGGTGGGTGTTAAGTTCCTCTCAAGAATAACTATTACATAGTTATATGTACACTATTCTTCAATGACCTCCAGTACAGCAAATGTACAGAAACGCAACTTTGAACAAGGACTGCAAAAAAAGACTGTCCATACTTCCGAAGGACATAATCCCAACCCAAGTCGTTTGCTTCTATTTCCAAACATAGAGGAAAAAAACCCAATCAGCAGCCTTCTCCTCACACACACCAAATGAGTCAATTACTGCACAATAGCGCGCTTTAAAACTTTGCACACGCGCGGGACGGCGGGGGCGCGCACGCACGGGGAGCCACCTGAAATCCCATCTTTCATGTGACACTGGAAACATGCTGACAGCAAGAGTGTCCCTGATCCCGGCTCTGCGACAATGTCCCGGCCTCAGAGGAGGATGCATGGCCGAACTGACCTGTTGGTAAGAGGGCACCGCAGAGTAATTGTTATATACCATTTATTGCATGCCAAGGAAGACAGGTCATATCCATCCGCTGCCATAGCCATGCAGATGACTGTATGGCAGTGTGTGGAAGGGGGTGTGTGCGCACAATGTAAGTCGGTACCGTGTGCATACATAATTAGTAGACTCGACATATTACAAATTAAGTTAACCTTTGTCATCTGCAAATGGCTGTGCGCAGTGCCATATGTACTGTACGCTTGTATACACGTCTAGATTTAATATGCAAATCCTAACCTTTGCATTCTAATGAGATAGATTGATATTTTCAGTACCAGGATCGTATGCTATATTTCTATGTGTGATTGTGTCTCTTTTTAGTTATTTAGTTTTTTTCTTGTGTATTTGTCATAGATTTTCCGTATTCCAATCTGTTACTGTGATGTTTTGTTACACCTGTCTGTGCAGATCATCACATCCCTGTGTCACTAGTCCCCTCTCAAGTCTGCAGTGCCTGGGGTTGAGGGTAAAGGTTGTGTTTGTTTCATGGACTAAGACCGATTAACCTTTCACTGTTTCATCACGCTGTGCGTAAACAGGAACGTCTTTATAACGTTGTTTGTCCCACTAAAAAAAACTATTTCAGCAAAAATTTTTTTTTTTTTTTTTTTTTTTTTTTTAGTTTTATTTATTTTTCTTTAACTGTATTGTGAAAATTTAGACAAGCATTGTTATATGTTTGTAAGTATTTAGTGTTTATAGTATTTATAAAGTTAGTGGATAGGAATGTCAAACAAGGCAGGATCGGGTGCCAGCAGCTGTAATCTTTAACGCCACTGTTGGAGTGCAGAGCATTCTTTTCCAAAACTTCTCAACACCAGTATTTTGTTGTGTTCAAATCCCTTTCCCCATAAGTAGTGCTTATTGCATTTTTATTAAAAGTACAGTATTTAGACATGCATATACCTAAAGGTGCCCATACACCTGCCGATTATAGTATGATAATCGGCAGGTGTATGGGCAGTGTGCGACCTCTTCTACTGTAAGGTCGCACGACATTCGTCTTCCGAGCACGCTTGAAAACCTGCCGAAAATCGTACGTTTTTCGGCAGGGTTGGTGGCGTGGTCGGGAGACGAATGCCGCACAGGCCGGTGTGCGCAAGCACATTGCCCGCTTAGCACTGCAATCATCGGAAGCCCTCCCCTCAGCGGGGAGAGCTTGCGATGATCGCAAGTACGATCTGCCTGTCCAAGATGGGATCGTACGAAATTTTAATCACCTTACAACCATCGCACAACGAAAGTTGTGCGATGGTTGTAAGGTGTATGGGCAGCTTAAGACCATCAATAACCCTGCCCTAGTATCTGCTGTCATTTAACTGACAAGGACATGGAAGAAGTGTGGGAGATTGTTAATTGAACAGATAAAGCTAAACTTGCAAAAATTGCTTGTTGAAGCAGACCTGTAGTCAAGAAGTGACGCTATGTCCACCTGAACATCATGCTGCCTATGTGCCATAAGAATTAAAGCTGAATTTCAGCTAAATACAAAGATGAAATGTGTATATATTGGAGCTGGTTTTCTAACCAAATGTTTAGTATTTCTGTCCATATGGTCCAAAGGCATAGCCCTGTCTGGCGGAGGAGGAGACCTGATTTTTTTTTTTTTTTCTTGTCTTTCCAAGACATCAAATGAGACGGCATGACTCCACCACCAGTGACAGAAAACACGATCACTACAGACCTTGCAATGGATAGTCCGTCAGTATTTGTGTTGAATTGCTTGCTACTTGTATTTTGAAGTTGTGTGTGTGGGAAGGAAGGTCGCTATCTCATGGGCTGTCCTGGTCCCAGTGCAGTTTCTGGCTGGTACCTTCTCGTTGCTTTTTTTTTGACCCATGGACAGCCTTCCAGATGGGTAAGGGCTTGGTCTGCATCCCCCTCTTCATCTCCAAGACTAAGGAATCCAGGACTTCCCCTGGTCCAGCTCCCTTGGCAGAGGAAGGTTCCTGTTGGCGGTGGTGGCACGAGGCCACATTCCCTGCAGCTATAGCTTCTCCCTGACCAGCGGAGCAATAGCCAGGGTGGGGGCAGGTGTTGCGGCCAATGGATTTTTCTCTGCTGCAGTTAAGTAACTTTAATAGGTCTTGTCCCTCCCTGTACAGTGAAAGGAGCAGCAACATGCTGATTAACTCATGCCTCTGTCACTCTGTTCCTGCCTCTTTTCAGCAAGTTCCTTGTTAACACATGAGCACTGCAGTACAACCGACTCCTTGTGCAGCTTCTCCCTCTAACAGTCTGAGCTCTGCTATACAGGGATTCCAAGATGCTAATATCAAGTCAATGCACTAATTGCATTAAAAATGAATGTAATGATGTTATATAATTTTTTTTTAAATAAATGTAAGCTGGGTAAGTACCTGAATTTGCTTTGATACCAGCCCCTCTCAATACCTGTATATCAGAGCTCAAACTGTGAAGCTGCAGCTTAGTTTGTGTGTCCATTAATTTGTGCATTTTACAACTGCCTGGCGTTTAGCCTTAATCGTTCTTACCTGTGATTCCCCTCTGGGTTTGACAGACCCAATGATTCTCCACCATGCCTTGGCTAAGGTGCAAACATTATACAGTTTCTTATTTACGAGGCATTGAAATGTGCAATTTGAGTAGAAGATGGAAAGCCAGCCTGTCCCTGCGGTTATGTATGTTTTGTAGTGGAGGTCCCTAATTTATGGATTGCTGTATCAAATTCAAATATAACAGGTGGTGGTCAGTTATACTGAAAAGCTGCCGCTTCCACAATATTGATTTTCAAAGCTGTAATGAACTCAGATGAAATTGACTCTCTTCATGGTTAGAAGTAGGGATGTTCAGATAGCAGTGCCGATACTTGGCATTTTCATGAGAACTACCAGGGTTGCAGCGGTTGCAGCTGGGACCTGGCTCTGGCGCTCCACCACTGTCCTGAAATCATTAGTCTGTATTGTTTTAAAATAACTATACCATGACATTAAACAAAAGTGTATCAGTACTTGTATCTGTTAGTACTTGGACACGTCTCAGTACTTGAAAAAATGGTATCGGTGCATCCCTTCTATATGTTTTAAAAAAAACAAAAACATGCATAAAACAGAGATGTACAAATCCCAGGAACTCCATGTGCTCCTTACAAAAGACCCCTGCCTCCTAACTTTTTGAATTTTTCTCTAGTCTAGTCTTGCAGCTAGAAAAGTATCTGTACTTGTACCGAGTACGGTACTTGGTATCTGACCATCCCTAGTTAGAAGCATATAATGCAGCAGGATGTGAGCTAATATGTTGCGCTTGGTTATTTCAACAATTCATAGTGATATTCAAATCGTGAAAGGTGATTTTAGACGAATAAAATATTAATTTATACTATTTATCATTTTTATAAATTTAATATTTTATTCGTCTAAAATCACCTTTCACGATTTGAATATCACTATGAATTGTTGAAATAACCAAGCGCAACATATTAGCTCACATCCGATCACATTGATACACATTGTTGCAGCTGGTATCCTATTGATTGATTTTATTTATTTATCTATATTTATAATCTCCTAGCGCAATCAATCTGAACAAACTATAATGCAGCAGGGTTCCTGAGCACAGTGGAGAAACACATGTTGGTATTTGTATAATTCAGTAAATATGCATATGACTGGTGAACCTGTCCATTACCATACAGGTGATTGCAATATTAGGTCTACCCATGGTACGAGCAGTTTCACACACCCAGTTTAGAAATCACAAACCGTATTTTATCTTGATATACCAGGACTCATCAGCTTCATTCATGTATCCACTGCTCCATACTTGACATTCCTTACAGAGCATAGCATACCTCCTGTACCTAAAACTCTCAACCCTAATAACCCCTCACCTGCTATTAATCCCAAACTCCTATAATTCCCCCACCTTGCACAGCATGTCCCCACTCCTCCAGATTAAGTTATTTGGCTGCACAATGGCTTAAGATGCAACTGAAGACAGAAGTTTCTGTCTTCAGAAACTGTGTCCCAGCGGGGAGGAGAGAAACTGTCACAGGCGGCCAAGCGCTGCGGGAGGAGAGCGATGTGAGCGGCCGGCGTCTCCCCGCTCCACTCAGCCTCCTGTCACAGATCAAATGAGAGCAGTGTGGGCCGAGACAGCCAGCGCTGCCACAGCAGGCTGAGCTCCGCTCGTTCAGCCTCCTGTGAAAGCGTCCCAGGAAGGAGAGCGGTACAAAAATTCATCGATCACGGAGTGTTTGTAAATAATTGAGGACATAGTATGTTTACTGTGTCCTCCATTATGAATGAATGGCAAGTGATCTACATCCCCTCCTGTTCATTCATGATTGTGGTTATAGTTCTCATGTTATGAATGAACAGAAACACTAAGTATAGAGGATTCCTGTTCATTGATAACAGGGGCTGCAGAAAAAGAGATTGAGAACTCTCAATCTGTGTCCTCAGTCTCTTTTTCTATTTTAGACCCCTAATATTTCCCTGAATCCCCTAAAAGTAAAGTAAACAATAAAAAAATTAATAAACAATTAAATTTTTTATTAACTATAAAAACATTTTTGAAAACATTAAAATAAAAAACTTTTTGGTTTCGGCCTGACATTTTTTTTAAATTTCGGTTTTTAAATTTTCATTTCAGTGCACCTCTAGTTATAACCCTTTTTTTTCTGTTTTGGACAGGATCATAAAATTTAGCTACAGTTCTACTTTAATGGGAGGTGAAGGAGAGGGTGTTTAGCTATAGTTAATTCGGCTCTATTGGTCCCCCGGGAAAAAGGGCCCTGTTGCAACCACAACCTTTGCTACCTTTGTTCTACACACATACAAAGTATAGCTCCTTCATTGTCACTGCAACACTTAACAAATAATCCTTCCAATAATATCCTTGCATATTCTCAATAATCACATCTTTTGTTTTAGAGCAGCTAGATTCAGGCATACTCATGCACACATTCACATCCATTTCTCCAGTGTTGTATATAAATATCCTCTATTCACAGATAGAAGAAACCCTCCTAATGATACACAGACAATAACCTATAATCACTCTCGCTAAATTAACTGTAATCACTGTCTTTTATCTACTGCTTTGTGTTGCTGCATCTAGTTCAACCTTTTGTTCATTTGTCCACATTGATGGTAATGGATTTGGTTGGTTGTACAAAATAAAAGGAACAGTTTGATGTAGATGGAGTATAACATGCTTTTGGCTTTTATGGTTATTGCTAGCGGTCCTGCTTTCTGTTGACATGTATATTCCTTTGTTTTTGCTTACAGATTGCTACATTGCTATAGTCTGAGATGTAACTAAATTACAGGAAAGTAGGCACTGGAAGGATGGAGAAAGTTCTTCTTCAGGTCCTCCTCTGCTGATTAGGCAGTGGGTGGGTGCAATAGCCAGCCTGCTATCGGCTATTTCAAATTGCAGTGAGCTCTCCTCACTGCTTTGCACTGGCCGTAGGAGTATTTGTCCCCTCTGATCCTGCTTGGAGCAGTGGGGATCGGAGTGGACACAGAGCTGATGACACACTGGCTCCCAGCAGGCAAGTAGAATCAACTAATCGATTTACATCGATTTGTTGTTGCAGTCCTAGTTATCATGAATTTAAGATGTGACCCTGTGTCCAGCTCCTAAAAGATGCCTAGGCACGGGGAGCCCTGTTTGTCAATTTTGTTTGTGATTGTGGAACTATGTGAAGCACTAGTTTTTGTTTTTTTTAAATACTACAAATCAAAACTGGGGGGAAAGTGTTTTCTGTACGTTTTTTTTTTTTCTTCTTTCTTCTTCCATATCTGTCCTAGTGTAGGTAGCTGCACTTTGTAAGAAAGTATATTTACTGCCGTAGATGAATCACACAGCAAAAAATTTCAAAAGTGTGTCCATCATTTACGAACAGAAACTAAAAACAAGCTCAGTCATGAAGTGGGTTAAACTGATTTACATGAACGTTTTCTCTGAGTTTTATATTTCTTCTTATGATATAGACCCCGTTGCTGGTGTTAGAGACTAGTTATAAACTGTAAATCCCATTTGTGTTTATTTTTGTTTTTTAACAAATTATTTTTGCATCACCCTTTTCCTTATTGCAATGATAGGTATTCCTCTGATAACAGAGAGAGCAGCTGGCTTCGCTCACTGTTTGTGCGGAAAGTGGATCCTCGCAAAGATGCGCATTCAACTTTGCTTTCTAAGCAGGAGACCAGTGGACTGTACAAAATTCAATGTAAGTAAACCATTTTCGAAGTCTTCATGTTTTTGCTGGTTAACGTTTTGGTCATTAAACAAGAGTGAAGGCTATGAAGCATGAAACATTTCGTGTCACCCATTAAACTATTTGATTATTAAAATGGATTAGCCAATATTGAAATTGTGCGGCTGCAAAAGGCAATTTTTGTGCTATCCATTTATTTTTAATTGAATTCCTTAGCTATGTTATTTAGGTCAATAGGTTTAATTGCTTATAAATTCTAACTCACCCCTTCCCAGTCTACATCAAAAACCTTCAAAAGTGAGCTGAATCTTTTGTAGCAGCCTACACATGCGGTATAATTGAACTTGTCGGTGCTATTAATTTTCTTGGAAGACTTAATTGTAAACACTCAAGGCCATATTACAATAGCAGTTTTTCAGCATCGCAGTGACAAGGTGGCCAAAGAGCACACACAGGATTGCTTCTTTGCTGGCCAAAACACTGCAGAATCTAATTTGCCAGCAAGGGAATAAGAAGTGTAACAGAGCAACACCTCACTTCTTCAGACAATGAGGAAGGGACACCCATTGTTTCCCAAGTCATCTTTAGGATGGCATACATGACAGATGACTCTACTCACCAGACAGGAAACACAATTCCCAGAACACTTTAAAAAGCAGCCCTTCCTACTGCTGCCTCTGTCCTGTCTTTCTAGCACATCAGCAGGCAATTCCCTGTGTATTTTTCTTATAGTTAGTAGCCTTTCTGTGAAGACCTTCCTTCTTTGCTGATTGTCATGTAGGGTCTAAAGCCTTGGTTCTCAACTAATGGGTCGTGACCCAAAAGTGGGTCAAGACCCCATGTTCAGTGGGTCGCCGCGTGCCTTCCACTTTTCTAGGTGCGAGGCTCCTCAGCCTCCCCTAGCGCAGCACTGTCAGTTCTCGCACCAAACACCCATTAAAAATATGCTGCCTGGTGCCAAATGTCAGCTTGGGGTGAATGGGCTGGGGCTATGGCCGTGAGGGAAATCCATCTATACGTACAGCTCCATCACTTGTACTGTAGAGGTGCCTGGACCAGAGTGATGTCACATTCTGGCTCCCACCACCTCTACAGGGCACGCAAAGGGAGCTGTACAAGCAATGCACATATGGATGGAGCTCTGTCACAGCACAGCAGCCGACACTGGACCCCAAGCTGAGGATCCACTCCAGTTCTTGTAAGGTATGGAGACTGGGTGGATCTTTTGAATGGCACCCCAATCGCACCTCCCACCCACAGTTTGATCGCCCGCACCAGAACGCGCGGTACCGCAATGCTGTGCATTGCAGTGCGACTTGGTGACCAAGGACAAATGTGGGTCCTGAGGTTATACAGGTTAAGAACCTTTTGGTCTAGAGGATCTCTGCAAACCTGATGCTTGTAGAAGGGGAGGGAGTCCTTTGTTAAATCTCTCCCATATCTACATATTGGGACTTGTCCCCCGCCCCCTCTAGAGGTTTGGAGGCAACTGCTGGCAGTTTCCATTCTTGGGGCCTTCCGCCTGCACTTCTCTCTGCATGTGTACTACTTGCCAGATGTAGACTGAGTAGGACTGTTGTCAACACCACAAGTAATGTACTTCCAACAGCTCTGACCTCCAGGAAGCCTGAAACTGCAAGGCCACACTATGCTGGAAGGAGAAGCGACCTAGAGTGGTTTCTGTTGCAGTGCTCAGCCATGTTCTTAGCAGTCATGTTCTGTACACCCCTCATAATGGAGCCTCTGTTTAGTGAAGCTGTGAACCCCAAAGACATACAATGTGATTTGCTTTAGTTATCTAAATAATGACATTAACCTCCTCCTTTTTAAAGTTTACACATCCTCCTTTTTGTTTCAGTTCATAATGTAAAACCAGAATGTTTGGATGCTTATAACCAGCTGACGTAAGCATTTTTTCATTTCCTTTGCAATTGACTTGCCTGTGTGTAAACTGGGTACCTTTTACCGGTCTTTGATTTTTTTTTTTTTTTTTTTCCTTGTCTGTGTGTGAATTGAGTACATTGACATTTTTTGATTTCTTTCCTCATGGAAGTCTTTTGTTCTCAACTTACAAACAGCATAAAAAGGAGCAAATCTGTGCTTTTTTTATAACATTAAAAGCCACAAAAAAAAACCACCAAGCTTATCACATTAATATTTTTCTCCAGATATTTATGATTAAAAGTTTTATTGCTATGACATTAATAACTACCTGAAAAAACAAAATAAACTATTGACAACCAGTAGCTTTTAACTGGAGATAATGGTATTGGTAGTTTTTAAAATGGTATGCCCGTGTTTTGAAGAGGAGGCAACATGCAGTATGCATAAGGCTATGAGAGCCAAGTCTACATGCTGATTGAGTATTAGTGGGCAACACTTGGCACTCATCTTAGAAAATAACTTTGCCACTGGTAATACCAACTAGAGGCTTGGTAGTTGCATCACCCCTGTAGCCTAGAGAGCGACAGGGTAGTGTGTAAATGCAGCCTGTAGTACAGCTCAAAATACATTTACAGGCATTGATGGGCAGAGAATTTAGCAGCACCTCTAGCCAAGGAATACAAAACAAAAATTGAAAGGAGGAGAGCAAGGCTGAAAGTGCCTTTACTAACTACAAGCTTACAGTGTGTGCACAATTATTAGGCAAGTGAGCATTTTGACCAAATCACCATTTGTATGCATATTGTCCTAACTCCAAGCTGTATAAACTTGAAGGCTTATTGGATTGAAGTATATCAGGTGATGTGTATTTGTGTAATGAGGGAGGGTGTGGCCTCAGGAGGCCAACACCCAATGTCAAGGTGTGCATAATAATTAGGCAGCTTCTTTTCCTCAGGCAAAATAGGCCAAAAAAGACCATTTAACTGACTCTGAAAAGTCAAAAATTGTAAAAAGTCTTTCAGAGGGATGCAGCACTCTTGAAATTGCTAAGATATTGGGGCGTGATCACAGAACCCCCAAACTTTTTGTTGCAAATAGTCAACTGGGTCGCAAGAAACGTGTTGAGAAAGAAAGACGCATTAACTGCAAGACGAATTAACTGCCAAAGATTTGAGAAGAATAAGACGTGAAGCTACCAGGAACCCATTATCCTCCAGTGCTGTCATATGCCAGAACTGCAAGCTACCTGAAGTGCCCAAAAGTACAAGGTATTCAGTGCTCAGAGACATGGCCAAGGTAAGGTAGGCTGAAACCAGACCACCACTTAACAAGACACATAAGGCCTCAAAATACGCTGCGTATATTCACATATTGTCCTATAAGCAGCATATGCAACTAAATGGCTCCATACACATAGCTGCGTATGGAGACGTATATGTGCGCTGCGTAAAGATGCACAAAAACAGAATGGAACCGAGATGCGTCCAGGCAGCGTATTTTACCTGCGTGAGGCCTAAGTTGAAACGTCAAGACTGGGCCAAGAAATATCTGAAGACAGCGTTTTCAAAGGTTTTATGAACTGATGAGATGAGAGTGACTACTAACAGACCAGATGGATGGGCCCGTGGCTGCAGAGCTCCACTTCAATTTCAACTCAGACGTCAGCAAGGTGGAGGTGGGGTACTGGTGGGCTGGTATTACTAAAGATGAGCTAGTTGGACCTTTTTCAGGTTGAAGTTGGACTCAAAATCAACTCCCAAACCTACTGCCAGATTTTAGAAGACACTTTCTTCAAGCAGTGGTACAGGACAAAGTCTGTATCTTTCAATAAGACCGTGATATGTATGCAGGACATTGCTCCATCACATGCATCAAAGTACTCCACTGTGTGGCTAGCCAGTAAAGGCCTTAAAGATGAAAGAATAATGACATGGCCCCCTTCCTCACCTGACCTAAACCCTATTGAGAACTTGTGAGACCTTCTTAAACGTGAAGGAAAACAGTACACCTCTTTGAACAGTGTCTGGGAGGCCGTGGTTGCTGCTGCACAAAAAGTTGATAGTCAACAGATGAAGAAACTGACAGACTCCATGGATGGAAGGCTTATGATTGTTGTTGAAAAGAAGGGGGGGCTATATTGGTCACTGATTTTGAAAATGTCAAATTTTTATTTGTAAATTTTGTGTTTGCTTATTGTTCTCATTTTAACAGATGAAAACAAACAAGTGAGATGGGAACATTTTCATTTTACATTTAGTTGCATAATCCGCACACATAGATATTCTCCTAAGAATGCCAAAACCTCACCTTTTACTTTCTTAAATATTCAGGTTTGAGGTCTATTAACATTTTGGATTGACCGTGAGCACTGTAGTTCAATAATGAAATTAATCCTCAAAAATACAACTTGCCTACTAATTGTGCATGCAGTGTAGATCAATAAAATTATAATATAAACTGGAGTTCCACGTTAATATGGTAAAATGTCAGCCATGTCACCCTTGAAATATATTGTATTCTTAGGGACTGCGTGAGCATTTTGAAGTCGTATCATTCTGACCACTCGACCTCTAACTAAGCATTGTTCTTTCAAACATTCTGGATATGTTAAAAGTAGGGATGCGCCGCTACTGTTTTTTCGGTATCGAGTACAAGTACTGGTATTTTTGTTTCGGTACTCGCCGATACAGAGTACTGGTACCTGGCTTCCTCATGTCAGAGCCTTCGGCAAGGAAAACTGCACAAAAGTGACATCACCAAATCTCCTGAAACTAGCAGAGGCAGGAGAGCCTTAGATCTCACACTGAAATATACAGCTACAGTCGTATGGAAATGAAAGTGCACCCTCTTTTGAATTCTGAGGTTTTAAGTATTGGGACATAACAATCATCTGGTCCTTGGTAGTTCTTAAAATTAGGTAAACACAACCTCACAACGACACATGATATATTACATTGTGTCATTATTTATTTTGCAAACATAAAGCCAAAATGGAGATGTTATGTGTGGAAAAAGTACACCCTTACTGCTTCCAAAGGAATTAAGAGGCTAAGTAGCAGCGAGGAGGATTATTCACATGTGGAAAACATTCAGGACAGTTGCCTATCTTCCCAGGAGTGGACATCCCAGCAAGTTCATTGCAAGTTCAGAAATTGCACACACAAAAAATCAATGAGTTACATCTCAGACTCTACAGGCTTCAGCATGTTAAATGTTAAAGTTCATGACCGTACATTTAGGAAAAGACTGAACAAGTATTGTATGGTTTGTTTGGAAGGGTTGCCAGGAGAAAGCCTCTTCTCTCTAAAAAGAACGAGGCAGCAGAGTTTAGATTTGCAAAGTAGCATCTGAACAAACCAAAAAACGTCTGAAATATTGTCCTTTGGACAGACAAGACCAAAGTGGAGATGTTTGGCAATAATGCGCAATAACATGTTTGGCGAAAGCCAAACACAACATATGAGCACAAATACCTCATACAAACTGTCAAGCACGGTGGTGAAGGGGTGATGATTTGGGCTAGTTTTGCAGGCACAGGACTTGGGCACCTTGCAATTGTTGAGTCGACCATGAGCTCCTCTGTATACCAAAGTATTCCAGAGTCAAATATGAGGCCATCCTTTTCGACAGGTAAAGCTTGGCTGAAATTGGGTCATGCAACAGGACAATGATCCCAAGCACACCAGCAAAACTACAACAGAATGTCTGAAAAAGAAAATAATCCAGGTGTTTTAATGGCCCAGTCAAAGTCCAGACCTCAATCTAAATTAAACACTGTGGCAGGACCATAAGAGAGCTGTACATAAACAAATGCCCGCCATCCCCAATGAACCGAAGCAATGTTGAAAAGAAAAGTGGGCCAAAATTCCTTAACAACGATGTGAGAGCTGATCGTCCTACAGAAATAAATTACTTCACGTTATTGCTGCTAACGGTTGTTCAACAAGCTATTAAATCATGAGGTGTATTTTGTTTTTCACACATGGCTTCTTCATTTTGGCTTTAGAATTGTAAAATAAATAATGACACAGTTTAATATGTCATGTGCTGTTGTTCATTTTGAGGTTGTATTACCTATTTTTAAGACCTGCTCGGGACCAGATGATTTTGATTATGTCCTGATACTTAAAACTATAGAATTTAAAGAGGGTGTACTGTCTTTTTCATGTGACTGTATAACGCATGTAAAACGCACAAGAATGCGTTGGCTCACTTGCATACCAGGAAGTGTACTGCTCATTTTTGAGAAGTCCGACAAAAGTTAAATTTTCAGGGTATCTCTAAGGCGCAATTAACGGTTCAACATTTTCCATATAACATTGCAGATAATAATATTACTTAAATATGACTGGACTTATTTCATATGCTTGTATAGCACCACATCCCTCTCAACTAAACCTGTAATTACACAAAGGGTACTGGAATTTTCAGGTGCCAATTCAAGAGATTCACACAAAGACTTCCCACTTCATTAAAATGTTTCAGTGGTAGGTGTTTGTGTGAATCTTTTGAAGTGGCACCTTCAAAGTCCCAGTGCCCTTTTTGTAATTACAGAAATAACAATGTGTAAAATGCAGTATTTAGCAATACGCCTATGTCAAGTTGCCACATTGTATTGGTTTATACAAAGGTCCCGTTCACAATTCTAGATCTAGGTTCTGCTTTTTTAACGATGACATGTGCTTTCTGAGTGCCTTTTCTCTGCAATGTGTGCAGTAATGGAAACCTCGCCCAAACTGAGTCACTGAACACTAAAATGCATACGGCTTCATAGGTGACAATGGTGGTGGTGGGGAGTTATGTATGAGCATTCCCATGTATAAAAATGGTCACATCTACTGAAAAGGGCATATAGATTGCATTATTAGATTAGTGTGGATCTGATTTTTAATGCATGGGAGTTAATTTACCTTGCACATAGGAGCAGGAGATTTAGACTTCAAATTTACTGACATTTTAAGGTATCTAGTTAGATGGTGCATAGTATGTTTTCATAGTTCACACATTAGGCAAACAAGAAAGGTACACTATTTTATTATTTTATTTCCTGCATTACAGTGTTAAAAGTAACAGAATAACGGAATTTAGGTTTTAAACTCTTCTTTTTTTAATGTTTGTATAAAAAATGTGTTGCTTCCTTCACATACAGAGAAGAGGTCCTACCCAAGCTGCACCAGGATCCAGATTACCCATGTGATCTGGTGGGTAATTGGAACACATGGTATGGGGAGCAAGACCAAGCAGGTGAGTGCAGATATTTTGGGCGGGCATTGGGATTGTTTCTGGTTAAATGCTGATTTCCCTTTCAGTTCATCTATGGCGATTCTCTGGGGGATATCCTGCTCTCGTGGACAGTATGAATAAGTTAAGAAATAACAAGGTAATGGACATCTGACAGAGCCTCATGTGTGAATTTGGTAGAAACCCATCTGCTTTTATATGTTAATCATTCAGTGCCTTTTCTTCATTTCCTTTTTAGACTGTCCAGTTCATCACTCGTTAATTTGTCCTCCCATTCTTTTTCTTGAATTTCTTCCTTTTTTCCTTGTCGTTGATATCCTCCTCAAAAAACATGCCTGCCAATACTGGATCATTCATGCTAATGCAACACCATCTCCTTTCTCCTGCAGGAATACCTGGCTTTCCGTGAGGAGCGTAGCCACATGCTGCTCTCCCGCAGAAACCAGCTTCTTCTTGAGTTCAGCTTCTGGAATGAACCAGTGCCTCGCAAGGGACCCAACATATATGAATTACGCACATACAGGTTAAAGGTAACATTCCAACATCCATTTGCAGAGAAAGTCCTGCTTGTTAATGCTTATGAAATCCATTTGGCAACTGGTGTGAGGCCTAAACATTTGGATAAAGTTGTACTAACAGTACTCCAAAAACTCTCTTAATTTGACCACACAAGTTTAGCTAGTCATGCACTATTGGAAATGTGTTCTTTTTCCATATGAAGTGAGATCCTGCATATGCATGTTCTTGCAATAAATCGGAAGCCAAAAGGTAAACTCCTGCTCAGACTAGTTTTATCTCAGGCACTTTTTTGGTAAACCAATTATACAGAAGTTCTCACACTTCATGTACATCCTCCTTTTTTTTGTTTTGTTAGTGTTTATGACATGCTTTGGAGGTTTCCTTTTGCTCCCTGTCCTGGAGACATAACAGGAAGTTACAAAAATTCTCCCACATGAGTATTTGTCACTGTAACAACTGTTCCCATTGAAATAATTTTCCCTCACCTATTTTCCTGGTGACGGCTATACCGTTTTGGATCCCCCATCGTTTTCTGCACTATTAATTATGGTTACCATAGCAAATAATGGGGGTGTGTTTTACCAGTAGGGACACAGACAGCAGTGTAAAAAAACAACAGGTGGACCCCCTTATTCTTGTTTGGGAGTTTTTTGTCCTTGTGGGAGCAGCCTTGTCAAAACCTCCAATTTCTGCAGGATGAAGGCAATCCACAGGGTGTATTACTGAGAACAAGAATACTTAGTGCCTCTTGTACACACATTTACATAGCAATAAAAACTTGTCAGAGGTTCCATCCTTTCCTATTCTATCCAAAACCTAAAAGAAAAAAAGTTTTGGCTAGAAATGCATTTTAATCTCTGACTCTGAAGACCTAAAAGTGTTTGAAAACCCTAACAATGAAATTCTCCTATTTACTCTCTTGTCTTTTTAAACTTATTTTTGAAATTTGTTTTCTTGTATCTGTTGGTCCTACCAGAGATCTTGTGAGTCTCTAACTTCCTGTAATCTCAAACATTGTTATGAGTTCTAAATATTTCTTTGTACTACAGAACACCTTCCCTATTTTATGGAGGTGAGTAGAGGGGGAGCGGGGTGTCTTGTAGTCCTAATATACTTCCTGCCCTAGGGTGACAACGCTTCTCCTCTATGGATATAGTACAAGCAGTGAGCATTGTCACCCTAGCATATGAAGTGTGTTACGGCCAAGATCACCAGGTGAAAATGAAGGAAAAAACTTGCAAAAAGAGAATAATTAATCCGCCACATCTACGGACCGGTAACCTGCAATATATTACTTTTTTTGTTCTTGGGTTTAGATGACGTTTTGAATGGCACATGAACACTTATTGTTTCCATGTTTAAGTCCCTGTTCACACCTGGCCCTTTTGACACTCAAAGCTAAGCGTGACAAAACTCTCAACAGAAAGAAATCCCATTAATTTCTTTGGCCCTGTTCACACCTTTTAGTGTTTTGTCTCAAGCTGAAAAGGTGCATGAGCTTTATTCGAGCAGATTACATGGCGTTTGGCTGCATAGACTTCAATGGAAGCGCATGAAAACGCATGACAAGAATTTGGAAAATTTCTGTGTGGTTTGTGCACAAGTTTGCTCATTCACTGCAATGCATTTCAATTTGCACAATAAAATGAGTGTCTTTTCACATGCAAAAACACTTACACCTTGGTTGTGAACAGAGAATTAAGCAGAATTAAACCACTGTGTGCTGGGTGGGCTTTTGCCATAATGTGCAAATTTGCACAGCAAATTATGGCACACTTACCTTTTTAAAAGTGTGATTTCTCCAGCACTGTGAGATACAGGCTCTGCCTTTTGCAAAACTACAGGCTGCCTGTAGGAGGGGCGGATACAAGACCAGACACCCTGGACAAAGAGAGATCAGCAGTGACCGGTCTTCATTACAGGAAGCTCCTGCACAGAGGAAAACTGTCACATGATGGATGAATGCACAGATCGGGGAAAAATACACAAAGCTCACCAAGATTCAAAAAAGAATATGCATGTCTGTAAAGGTTCTCATTTATCCAGGTCATGGTATATCTGTAAAAAAATAAGTCACGGTAACTGGACTTGCTGTATTTTTCTTGAAGATGTTTTACTGGTCATCCGACCAGCTTTCTCAATCCAGAGTTGAGAAAGCTGGTTGGATAACCAGTGAAACGTCTTCAAGAAAAATACAGTTGCCTTGACTTATTTTTACAGATAAGAATACGCATGGCTCCTTTATATTTAGACAATATTTGCTTATCCCGGAGTTCAGCTTTAAGAATCTAAAAGCAGTTAAACTGACTTTGTACAAATGTATACAATTTATGAAAACGTGCAGCATTCTCCCTAATAATGTAAATCTCTTACTTTTCTAGCCAGGAACAATGATTGAATGGGGAAATAACTGGTGAGTTACATGGTGTTAATACATGTTTATATTTCCTTTTGCATTGATCAGACACAGGAAGTAGTAAACTTAAGGAAAATACATCTCTTTGCTTCTACAAAAATATGTTGTTTTTTTTTTTTTATATGACCACTGACAGAGTATTTCCTTATATCTATAGCTCACAGTACATTAGCAGGATCTGTAAGTTGTAGATAAAATAATAAAACAATGTGGTGTGCTGGGCATAT